TATATATATATATTGACAAACAGGAACTTATGCTTATGCTAGCTAAAACTACAACTCAAACTTTGCTCTGACGTGCCCGTAGCGATCAAAGCATCCACAGTGTACCTTTAATAGCTGCCATAATGTGAGCGCAGATTAAAATCTGTAGCACGAACAAGCATTTCAGTCTTTGATTTGCAAACACAACCCCAGGTTTGTCTTTCTTAGACTGTTCAGCCCCTTTCAGACACACTGCTGGCTAATAAATCCGTTAAAGTGACGGCTCTCTTTCACACAGGAGTAACTCTTACATTAATGTTACTCATTAGACTTTAATTAAGTGCTTTAATAACACTTATCCAGCTGTGCTATATCCAACATCGGGCAGTACATCAACGGACGTCATTTCTCGATTTCTGACCAAGGTGCTTATACTTTGGTAGACACTCTGACACTTGCAAATGTCACATCCTTCATGTAGTATTAAGAATCCCTCCACACTTTATAAACTTTAATAAAATGTACCCTTTAAAAACAGCTAAAGCTGAACTGAAGTACACAGCATTAATTAACAGTAATTAATGAACTGTTGCCTAAGAAAAACTGTTGGTTGGTGATGGTTTCTGATGCTGTGTGACACTCCAGGTATGTGATAAAATCAGAGGAAAGCCTCCCACAATTAGCTCAACAAGCTACACACATTACAAATCTGATCTGTCGTTGACTCATAAACTTAGTCACAGTGAAGACTTTCCCACTGTATTTGATGCGTAATAAATACTAAATGTAGAGAAAAGTAAATGAGGGAGAACTGACTGCAGATGAAATGTGTTTAGTGTTTTTTGGAGAGGTCTGTGTGCCTCTCCAAAAACCAGAGCTATACTAACAATGTGTTTCACACTCTGATTTAATTATTGGCCAGTGCTTGCATTGAAATGTTTACTGTGTATTGCTGTTTTGATACACAGGAGCATATTAAGCTGTCTGTGATATTAGTTTGTCCAAAGATCATGAGCTAGAAACTACAAGCAGGCGTGTCAAACCGTTTTGTTTTGTTTTTCTCGTGTTATTGCTGATCGGGACTTTCACCAGAACAATCATGCCTTTTAGCGTACTGAGGAAGTGGAGATGCCGGACAAACACGTGAAAAAGAAATTTCTTTGCAAGCCCATCCAGCTGATGTGACTGCATTCATGACCCATATCGTCAGATCACTATCCCAACTTTTAGAGAAACATGGGCAGTGTGCTCTTTAAGACACGCAGGAAAGGAGCACATGTCTGAAAGGAGCCTGAACACCTGTGTGTTTGTTTAATGTGCAGCATGTTACAGATAAACATAATCATCAGTAAGTAACTTACCACATTAATAAAAAAACAAAAAACATGACACTACTTTTACTGCCGTGTTAAAAGTAGCGTGTACACACATAGTGAAGCTCGGTTAGGTGAACTACGTGCTACATGTATTAAGAAAGAGGGAAATGTGGACAAATGGATTCTGAACTCTTACTTAAAGCCAAACCATGTGTTGTAGAGTCTGTAAAGTTGGAAAGAGGTACAGATAAAAACATATACAGCATACTGTGAGCAAAGAGAAGAGTGAGTATGATTCATGGTTTTTATGGTGATGTTTTCTTGTGTGTTACCTGGTGTCATAAGTATCAGAGCTACGGTCAAACTTATATGTGGGCTGAAAGTCCAGAGGCCCCTCCTCAAACTCCTGCAACACCTGCTCCTTCTGCTTCATCATGATCAGCTGAAAACAACAACACACATGTTTCATGGTCACATTACTGAGGCTGCTATGTGGGATGGAGGACCAGGAGCTGTGAGACTTTTTAAAGGGCCACACCTGGTCTTTGCTCCACAGCAGGCTGTAGTTCTGCTTGTCGATGCAGGTGCGGACAAAGTGCATGCCGTGGTCCTGAATTCGGAAGTTGAGATCTCCAAACCAGAAAACCAATCTTGACCAGGAGAGGGGCGAAAGAGAGAAGGAGGACGGTGACACATGAAAGAATAATGAAGAAGTGACTTTGGTGAGATATGTGAAGCTTCAACATCATTTCTTATCCCAAACATTCAGGTGAATCACAGTTTGTATCCTGTGCGTCTCCTCACCTGTGATCAACAATAGTTGGAGCTCTTTTACAGTCAAAGCTCTGCATGTCCATGATATACTCAAACTCATCCACCCTCTCTGAGGCATAGTTCATATGAGCAGCCAAGTGGCAGTTAAGGAAGCAGAGCGTGTGGCCATAGAAAGATAATCGGATGGAGACGCCGCCTTTATTACCCTGAGAGTGAAACAGGGTTGAGAAAAGAGAAAAACAGTGAATGTGTTGAACTAGACTCCATACTCTGTTCAGTTTTTAAGCTGCGAGACACAACTCCTCCATCAGCTGGTGACCCTCATGTAATAAATGCAGAAGCCCTCTTGAAAACCAAACAAAAATACTGGAGTTCACAAAGTGGGGTCTGGTTTGACATATGTTCCTACATGTTACTCCATTCCTCATTTCAAGGAGAAGTGTGCTAGTTTTACACATTAGAGATTGTTTACACATGTGAAACAGAAAACCAGCTCCAACGATGACAGTGAAAGGAGTACACAAACCAACATCCACCATTTATATACAGTCTATAAAGGGGCCAGCACTACTTCTCTTGCAAGTGTGAGCTTTGCTTAATGATGATGATCAAGTTCATCCATCTGAAAGTAGACAGATTCCTCTGAGCTGACCAAAAATCTGAATTCAAGGTCAGTATCTGTGGGTAGGATTTATGACACTACGATAAGCTGTGACTGATTTAGGCTTTCCTTAAACAGGCATCCAACACAAATAGGAAGGATAGGAAGGAAAGGAAGGAGAAAACCTGAAGTCTGCACTTGTTCACCATGAGGACAGACTTAAAGAAGACATCCTAAATCCACTAATTAAGAATTTTGGCGGAAGAGGCTTGTTTTGAATAATAGTTTTTCCCAAAGTACTAGAATGTTTTGCTTTTAAATAATAATTTTAATACACCTTTAAACAAATAACCAAACAGAGATGAGTAGTATCTAAAGCCTGAGGGGACCAATGCATGCACCAGATTTTCAAAATAATAATAATTTTAAAAAAAGAACAACAATGCAGCTAAGGGCTGTTCGATAGGACGATATATATCGGATGATGATATGAAAACATCTATCGTTTCATATTATGCTATTGTCTGTTTCGTCGTGTCGCAAAATAAGCTGTTTACGACAATGTTTTCTCATCGTTTTCATGGTCAATGTAGTGGCTATATTAATTTCTTAAAGTTCTCTCTTTCTCTTTTATTTAAAATAACCACATTACAGACAGACAAGCAACTGTTTTTACGCGTACTTTCGTTAGCAACAACGACGGTAAAACCATTGTGTGGCTCCACTGTCTGCTTGTTTATTTTCCACATAAACCTTTCACAATAAAGCTCAAGATCCTGTTGAGACTTTTCAAAATAACTGAAATGATATGCATTATTCTCAAACATCTAATTTCCGAATATGCATCCAACAAATTACCTCAAATAAAAACATGAAGTAACTGTAAATGGCGCTTACAGTCACAGAGAATACCAGCATGGCCAGTGAAGATGAGGCATCACCAGTTAGCTCCAAACAGAAGGACTAGTCGAGGACCTTATTCCAAAACAAGGGCTACCTCTGTAGCATGGACAGGGTTTGGTTATGACACAGACCAGAAAACTGTACTATGAAAAATTATGCTGCAAACCAGTCCCCACCACAGACTCAAACACGACAATCCTCTTCTAACACCTACGGCCAATAACACAAGAATCACGTGAAAGAGTGCGGAGAGAGTTTACGGATGAGAAGCAAAAAAGAGCTGTCAGGTGCTCAAAATAAACGTTAGAACAGGCTTTCCCCGCAGCACGCCATGTACTAAATACTCACAAAGAAAATGCACTATTATGCGATATATATTGTTATCGGGATAAGAAATGTTTATATCTATCCATGAAGCCAGATAACACACACCAATTAGTTAAACTGCAGGAATGTCTTAAAGACATAAAGACTTGGATGGCCACTAACTTTCTGCTTCTTA